AGAGGTGGAAGTAATAAATTACCAGCACGGGTATGAAACCAAGCGATGTGGGCTGGGTGAAACGGCGAGGGATGGTTATCTTGAAAAGCCGATTCACCAGAAGCGCAGTGACGCAGGCGTCGTGTCGATCAATGTGACTACGGTCAAAGGCTTGGCGCCAGCACAAAAGAGTTGACGAGGGAAGAGTTGGCGAGGGGCTTGGATCGGGCCAACGGGCAGCGGAGGTTGCTTTGGATGGGGTGACGCTCCCCAAGGAAATAACTCGGTGCGGTAATAATAATAGCACAGTCCGATGCGACCAGGGACCAGCTGCTTGCTTGGGGGTCTTGTCGTCGTTGGCTACGAACAGCGTAATAATGCGTCTTGCTTGGATAGCAGTATCCGGACGGTACCTAACTGCGGCTCGGGGCACAGCGCTGCGATTTAGGAGTATGAGTAAGATCAGCAGAGTCGTGCTCGAGCGAAGACTGCTGTTAAATAAAGATGGCCCGGGTCCAAGAGGTATTTACGGAGTAAGGGATACCAAAACGAACTGGACCCAGAGGCTGAGGCCCTTTGATATATGTATCGACTGGAGTCCTGGAGTCCCAGCACGCATCCACTCTTTCCAGCCCTTCAAGGTTGCGCAGCGTTGTCCTCGCGACTTAGCCGGGCACATGCGCGAAGGGCAGCGCGGCACCAAAACGGATTCGGGATCCTGGGGGCGCAGTCTGAGCAGCAACCTCCTTGGGTCCTTTCTTGGGGGCCTTTCGCTGTAGACTGTGTAGTCAGCACCTCGCACGCATTCTCTTTCACCTTCGTTCCACACTTTGTGATTACGGGCATCGACCAGCAGAGTACATCCGTACAGCATGGTTGGTGAAAGGCCGCGCGAGGCAATATGCCATGCCAGCCCAATCCACTGAGTGGCACGATCCAGGAAAGTGCTCAGCTCATGCGAACATCGTTCGTGTTCAACCTCCGTCCGATTTCTTTGCTGTGTTTCGTGTGCGCAGGTTCATGCAGCACCTCCGAGCATTTACTTTGGAGCTCCTTCTCCGGCGTATCCAGGAGCACTTGTCACTCGGACATCTGCATTTCCTTGGGGCATGCAAGCGGCCGATTCACTCAACGCACGCCGGTGCACCATAATTCACAGTTCACAACTTCAAAGAACGGTAACTGACTGTACCTCGAAGAAGACCCGGGGATGGGGGGTAATCCTTCTTTTGTTGATACTCTTCTAACCTAGCTTGTAAATTGTAATTTCTACCACCTGCAAATCCTCCTTTTCCTGCGTCTCCTTTTCTGTCTTGGCCCATCGAGGTCCAGATCAGGAGTTCGTCCTCAAATACCGCCAACAGCTGCCCCGTGCCACACAGTAATCACTGGATGGATGATTATTTACTGTCCTTTTTGACGTTCTAGGATAGCTCTCACATTACGTTTACATCTGCGCCCTCTTGTAGGCACCTTCTAACCGCCGGCTCCATCAAAGGGGTCTCGGGACCTGGAGACATGCTGTTGACGGACAGATCCTCGCATCATGCGAATCCCGCGGATGATCTTCGATGAGGACCCAGTAGGGAACTTCCTCGTAGCGAGCCTAGCGAGTTTCCCCTCGCCCGCTCTGGGAGCACTGGAACTCCCGTATGGGCAAAGGCTCTTCACGTAACGTGTGTCCAGCGACCATATTCTAGATCCAGTCCAACAGATCGGATAGCTGCTTTGTTGCAGAGCTGCTATTTCGAGCTGTTCCAGCTCAACAAACACCCATGCTTGTTCTAGGAAGAATTCTCCGATTGCAGCCATACGCAAACACTGCGCCAGGCTGCCAACTCCGAATCCTACCAGCAGTCCTGAGGCCACACATCCACAGTAATCTTGGGATTGATTACTTGGGGATGAGTAAGAACCCGAAACAGACTGGCCTGAGCCTAACCAATGATCGCCCAGTTGATGCTCGCATACACGAAACAACCTATCTCGGTGGACGATAAGCTGGTCTCCACGTGAAATTGTTTTGAATCACAGCTGAGTAGGGCACGCAAAGCCTCAGTCTGACTCGTAATCTCTGTGCAGCGTGACGAGGCCCCAGAGGCGCCTTTAAAGGTACCGCAGAATACGGCGCGCTGCTGCCGGACCCTCGGTGAGCACCGAAGTTCCCTTCGATGGTGCTTCCAGAATATTGGCACTGGCCAGCAGGTAGTCTGGTGCCAATGTCCCTTTCCAGCTTCTCCATCCAGCAATCCATGAGGCCCGCTGTTGCATATTGCGTTTCCATAGCATCCGGCCAACGACGAAATCGCGGGAGCAGACATGGTCACTTGCCCCTTTGTTAACCGGAGAAACGCAAAATTCACTCAAAACTCTGGGAATGATCAGCTGGATATTCTAGCGGGTGCCTGGAGAAGCATCTCGATCTCTCTTCCCTTGATTTTTGCGGGCTTGAAATCCACCAAACAACAGCTCCATCTCCTGCATAGGGCAAAGGCATTGCAGCAGTACATAGCATAGCAAGCCCTCACCGCACACAAGACCATGCGCAAAGGGGAATAAGCTTCTGACGAATGGCGCACTACCGTGTTCTTCCGACCTTCTAAAGCCTCTGGAATCCTTCCATGCAGCTCGTTAATGCGTAAGCGCTCAGGTAATCGGTGCCGCTTTTCCTTCCACCTCGCCAGCCTTACCAAACACCCACCCATCTGACTACTGAATCCACAGTCATCCAACATCACAAAGGAGCAATCCTACTCTGTAGCCCGCCCGCTGGATTCCGGAATGGGCCCGCTTGTCGGAGTTCGCACAAAGAAAATATAAGGCGTCCAATACGAGAGGAAAGGGGAAATGCTTCATCCTGTTCCGTTCAGGCGGAGGCGCCCATCCATTGAAATGTTGGGGGCTTGCTCGATCTGAGCGCTGTGAGTCAGCTTCTTGCCGGGAGGACAAGTTAAAAGTACAGTACGGAACCCACAATGTCAGCCAGGTTGAGAGTCAAATTGGTATGGGTGTAAATTTTTACTGTACGACGGTAAGCACGCGGTAAGCAACACCTTCCAATTGCTCTCTGTTGGGACAATGGCTGGCCCTGATAACTGTCTAATTTGGAAGTCTTAAAAACGGAAAGACTCACTCCGTAGCAGCAACCTACACGCACAGCGGAGATTATTCTATGCTTTCTACATGTTACATAACACAGATAGGCTTTGCAGTGGATCCTTGTGGCTTGCAACCACTGCGCGTGGCCTCCCTGTCGCACAGGAAGAAAACTTTTCATCCATCTCCGATTTCTTTCTTTGGAAGATATTATTCCAATCATGCATACCAAGGAAAAAAATTTTTTATGCAACCTCTCCGATTATTCTCCGCCGAAAGAGACTCATCAGCATGCAGTAATGGAAGGGGTGAAGATGTTGTTGGATTACCCCGCCAATGATTGGCTTTCACTCGGCATCTCTTACCCGACTGTTGTCCGAAATAGTCGACGTCAATCAAAAGACTGTTCTGGGCTTTGCAAGCTCTCAAAAGTCATTACTTCACAATGATGAAGAGGAAAATCGCGCAACTCCCCAAGATCTAGATTCATACCGTTCTTTTAGTGAAGGACTGCCATTCGCCAATCGCAGCTTGTCGTACGATCTCGAGACTAAGGAGGTTCTGCCGCTGTTGTTCCTGTCCACCTGAGCCGTTTGAGCTCTTGAATTCGCCTCATCCTTCCCAGAGTCGTGGTGCCACAGACCCAAGCACAGCCACAGACCAACCTACCAACCTTCTCGGCCCAGGCCGAAGTGTTAGTTAACTCTCGCAAATCTTGTTCCAAGATCGCAACTTTAACACGCTTTTGCCTCCCAGTTCTTGGAGCACTCCCACAGCTTTGGTCAAAACGTTACATGTAGATCCGGGGGTGGCAAACCAGGATCGTACGCTGATCTACGCGATCCACGAGCTCTCGAACTTTGGTAAGAATCGCCGGTTTGAGGCGAATACTGTATCTCTAGATGCGCAGATGCGGTCCGGATTTCCCAGTGCCACAGGGTCTCGACTCCAAGCTAAGTCTTGCTCATCTTTTCCCACTTTGACTTCATTGAAGACCGTCGGTCAGCTGGACAAGGGTGAACCATCCTTGGGGGCCATAACAGATCTTGGGAGAGGCGGTTTGACCTCCATCTGAGCAAGAGTAAGGACTCTGCAATTCTGGGCACCTAACCCTATCCTTATTTCATGATAGATGGTCCTCTACTGCTATCCAGGAACAAGGAACAGAGTCAAGTGACTTCTTGTGAGGCGGTTTACTGTACTTATACAGTACCTTCAGACCTATGTTACTCTTCCATTTCTACTGTCTTCTTAATATTCACGTGTCCACACAGCCACGGAATCTAGTCTCGATTATACCTAGATCTAGATCTTGTAGTCAAAACCAAGAGACCGGTATGAGACATGCAGGACTACTGGCAAACAGCTCGCAAGTATGGTACGCAACGGTGCATGGAGCGAGCTCACTCCACGGGATGGCGCCACCGAAAGGCCTCGCACACCAAGATCTAAAGCGGGGGTGTTTTGGCCAACTCTTCCGCAGTTGCGGCTCCGTCCAGCTTCTCGGTCGAACGAACCTCTGTCCAGTTATCAGTGTGAGTTTCAGATTCCAGCCTGAGTCATAACCGTACATTTCCAACCCAATTGCCTTCTCTGCGAAGAAAGGATGCTACATTCCGACATAGCGAATCGTCCATGGTATTGGTTATAAGTATATGCACAGGAACTGCGTGTACACCATTAAAGGCCCTCTAAAGGTATATAAGGTATTGTTGGAGGGGAGAAAGGTTCAAAGAAATAATGCCTGTTCAAGTACCGTATCTCCTGATCTATTATAATAAGGCGGTCTTCCCAGTACGAAACTACTTTGGTTTCCCTCGAACAGGCATCTATAGACATCCTCACCCACCTGATATCTTGAAAATGAACCAAAAAAAACATCTGGTTTCGAAACTGGACAATAAAAAGGAAAATTCCACCAAAAATTCCGTACCAGGGAGTCGAACCCTGCGCAACTGCGGACTGAGGACTTAAGTTGACCTTGAAAGGCGGATATGTTACCGATACACCAGTACGGATGTTGCGTGACGGTGCGGCCTGCTAAGTAACTCTATTAAAACGTCTGTTGCCATGGATATGGGTATTGAAAAAATTCTTTGAAAATGTGTACCCACTTTGTCTCTTGTGTGCTAGACTTATATGGCTCTAGGGTGGTGGGGATAGGGCTCCACTGTTGTCATGGAAGATGGAGGGCGTGCTGGAGTGAGGAAGAGAGCTATGATAAGCAGTTGAGCTAGTAGAGTAGCATATATATCGTATTAAGTTGCAATATCTCAACTCTTATATGAGAAGCTGAATATAATACGACGTCCTGATCCAGGGTGTAGTATTCTCCATATAGATCTCTAAGTGTAATGCCATGTAAAGTCATTACTGGGTGTAGTCCGTTAACTATCAATAAGATAGTATCAGAGGTAACTACACTTAAGAGGAAACAGGTACATTCTGGCGGTCTCATTGCAAGCAGCAGTGATGTCAAAGTTAAGCCTTCAGATACCTATCCAGGAACCACTTGGCTGGCTGCACTTACAGCTTTGATGTATCAGACCAATGCGTAGCAATTTCAAATTAGGGAAAGAGTATAAGCTCAATATCTGATTAGCAAGACACCAGGTTCATATCTGTTTGATATGTGCTCCTTATACGGTTGTAGATATAGTAAACTGGGGATTTGTGTATGGCATCAGACAATCAATTTACCTCAAATTGTAGTTTCGCCTCTCTGGCCTCAGGTATTATACAACTTATGTTCTAATCAATCTTCTGTGATATATCAACTAAGTCGTTAAGTATTAAGTGGGGGTAGTTGGATGTAGTTAACACACTTTGTCATTCAATGCCCAAGGCTTATTGCTCGGGATTACTTGGGTAGTAATATCTATCACCAGCTGCGTAATGGATTCTAGGAGAGTAATCTAGGCAAGATAGAGGCTTTATTGGTGCAAATCCAGTGGAGAAGTGAGAGGCCATCGATGGAATATGTGCAAGCATTGGACTGTTACTGCAGAGCCTAGCTTCATTACAACTAATTCTGCACGGTACCCCAAAGACTTATATGTACTTATAATCCACTGAGGCACGCTGAGCACTCTATCTAGGGCAAATAAATTAGAGTTTTGTGGGAGACCCATTACTTTGGGGGGTTGTGAATTGTGGCTAGGTATCAGACTTATGTATGTCTGTTGAGTATATCGTATAAGTCAGCAGCTAGAGTATCCTCATTCTTAAACGGCAGGTCTCTTTGATACTCTGTTGAGACTAAACAGATAGCATAAGAAAACCGTCCTTCATTTCGAATGATGTCAGAGTGGGGTTGGCATCAGGTACATGAGGCTGTCATAACTCAATAGCAGCCACAAGGCGCATATGAGATGACCTGCTAGCCTCAGGCGACTTATTTCTCATGTATAACTAACCCACTTTCATTTTCACTGGTCATCGAATTGCTAACTACTGCTGGGACAGGATTTCAGTTCTACTTATATAAGGCTGATGTGCAATAGAAACCTCGGTAGCTTAGATCACTGAGGCTTCCGTTCTCCTTTCCAATTCCAGGAACTAAAATACGTCTGACTAATTTAGAAACTAGAACTGTGCTAAGCTCTGCTCGTATCGAGCTTTTTAGATAACACAGACATGCAACAAAAAGAACAAGGCTCGTCACAATGACGACTAGAAAGCTTGAAAGTTCTAGGCAGAAGCCTCTGTAACTTTCACTTTAGATCCTATTCCCTTTTATTGGCTATTAAATTACTAGCTCTTGCTAGTGGAAGCCATTAGCTTTACTTATAAGACTCTGATGTGCAACAAAACTTTGGATTGTGTAACCATCAGCATGCAAGGGCTGTATTTCTTCTTGGCATAAGAATATCGCTACAGTGAAAGAAGACAAAATGCGGATTATCGAGCTCCAATGACCAAGCATCTCCAAGAAGTTGTAACTAGCGAGCTAATTTATGAGGAATAGTTAGACATTAAAGCACTTACTTCCGGGCTTACCTAAGGGGAACGAGGGATGAGTGGCAGCGCTAATTGCCTCTTTACCTGGAAGAGTTCCATAGCCATTACGGAGTCCTACACGAAGAACTGGACGTCAGATCCACCAATTATATGCATCTACTTTCCTCCATTGCTGCATATTGAGCGAGAGAAAGCTTGCTCAACCTGCATGTCGTTAAGATAGAGGTAGCTCACGGGAAGCTGCGCCACAACGTCTACCTTTCCGCTTTCACGAACATCCAGCATGCCCGATTCGGAAAGCACTGCGATTCAATACCTGATTGGCTGCCTCTACGTATCCTCTCAACTCTAAGACTGTTTCGATGGATACAATCAACATTGCGCGTCCCCTGCGCCACGACGCCTTTTAAGCATAAAATTCGAAGAGATGATTGAGAATCAGCTCGGACCAATGAGTAAGGAAATATTGATTAAGTCTATTACTCCATCTCTCTGGGATAGGTAACTATGACGAAAAGGCACGGGGAAATTGAGTGCTTAGCCTCAATACTCGTGCAAAAGCTTCTGTCTCCTGTAAGGTAAGAGACACAATGTGTGAGGCTGGCTGCAATGAGCCTCACAGATGGCCATATTCTGCCTTCGCCATGCTTTCCTTTTCTATCGTGAATAGATGCTTTGTTGTTTTGCATCTGGATATATATACTTCTTTCTTTTCATCCTACTGTTATCCACTACCTCGACTCAGAACACAACTCGGACCACTATCTATTTGATTATCCCGGAATATAAAACCTACTTTACTCTTCGTTACACCAGGACATACTCTCTTGTGTCCCAGCATTCAGATATGGGACAGGTTACTTATCGAGATGGTGTTGCCATCATCCAAATCTTCTTTTTCTCAATCTCTCTGGTCCTAGATATCATACTGGCCGTCCGTCGAGGATTTGGTAGATTGGCTTATCTGATCGGTGCACTTTGCTTACTCCGGTTGATTGGAGCAAGCTGTCAGCTTGTCGCGATATCGCATCCATCTGTAGGGGTTTACACCACCTCTATAGTTTGTACATCCATAGGTCTCTCGCCGCTCACTTTGGTCTTGTTGGGAATGCTAGCAAGAGTGTAGGTTCCTGTCTCTTTTATCAGTTCATGTCATAAGGGACAGTGTTGACGAAGGACTATAGAAATGATTATCTACCTCGAAAACTAAATAAACGCATCTGGTTCCTCATTTCCATCCTAACTATTACTGGGGTTGCTCTTGGTATTAGCGGCGCCGTCGATGCAGCATCGTCCTCTCACTCGAATTACTTCCATCCCAATACTCAAACCAAAGCCGCAATACTTATTTTCACCGGCGCTTTCGCCATCGTTGTCCTCGTATTTCTCTACTTCTGCACTCAGATGTCCTCTCTTGACCAGGGCGAGAAACAACTACTTTACGTTGTGGGATTCTGTATCCCATTCCTCGCCGTGCGACTAGTGTATCCCATCATTGGAGATTTTGCAAACAGTGCACAGTTTAATGCTCTTACCGGGAACGTGACGATTTATCTGTTTATGGATGTGTTAGAGGAGATCATTGTGACGATGATATGCGTGACAACATTGTTGAGATTGACATTTTATAGAAAGAATGTGGATGAGAGGGACGTAGAAGGCGCAAGAGGCACAACATTGTCGAATGACCCGACTTTGAATGATGGTAATAAGTTGAGAAAGCCCAGCAGGTATTGACTTTTGACGAAGTATGCTCATTAGAAATGGAGGATGAGCTGTGACAAGAATAGATGGATGAGATTTTGTGTATAGACATCTATGATCTTGGGTTGTACCGCATATAAAGTCGGAGTTGGGGAGCATTTTTATATTTGCTAGAGTTTATTTTCACTATACCAAAAAAGTTAGATTTCCTTGTTGAACAATAATGAGCCATGGAAGAAGCCATAGAAGGTTCTAATTTCCTAGAATAGGCAAATCTATGGAGGTAAGTTATTATTCCTTACCTGCCTAAGATACAAGGTCGGGAAAGATTCTGTACTCTATTTCGAATACAGTGCTCTAGTCATAAACTTGCATGGACAAAAAGGCACAATGACTCCACTTGAGATCTGTATTTGAGAACGCCCCTTAAGTAGCAAACTACGGATAATCTACTAATATCTAGCTATACAATAACAAGAATAGAGATTTAATTGCAAATAGGAAGGTTATCATTTGTACCCCCGCACCTCCACACTCCCCGTACCCCCTGACATACCCAGGCTCAGCACTCCTCACTCGCCACTCTCCCTTTTATCTCTCAGCAAACGCGTCCCAGGATCGCTCCTGGACACAGAATAACAGCACGAACCATAAATCTTTTTTTCTTCAAGAACGAAACCGCAATTAAGAGAATAGGAAAAACTAGCTAACACCCAGCGACCAAGTATTTCTGGTATCATAAAACAATAGAAAGAAGACAACTGGGGTTATGGTACCAAATATGAGAGTCATAATTTCGTCAAGGAAAAAAGACCAGAACGACTGAATAAGCACAAATGGAACGGTGGACCTGGAGTTGCAGGCTAACAAAAACGCTAATTAAACCACACGAGAGCCGCAAACCTCCCTCCAAAACAAAATACTAGCTCCGTTTTTACAATATAAAAAGAGTAGCTTGATAAACTATTATCACGCAACGCTCACGCCTGTAGAAAGAGCCTCTCGCCAACTTCTCCAAAACGCCAGAAACAGAGGATTGAATACAATGGATAGAGGGATTGGTAAAAGATCCTTTTGGGAGATCACACTAAATTTTAGGATTTACATAATTGTGCAGCAACCACAACCATCTTTCTCGGAGTCTTGTGGTGGTTCTTGGGTTCTTTGAATTGTCGTTGTTTGTGCTGGAACTGGGCTAGACATTCCTTGAGGGACCCCAGTAATCTTGGGCATGGTACTATACGTCCCGCCAGTGGAAGTTCCAGGGCGTCCAGAGGGAAGTGGTGCAGTTTTGGGGTCTTTAAGCGGCCATTCTGCGCCATGTTCCTCCTTTGTCGGCTGTTCTGCAGATTGA